GGTGACCCTGCTTCGGCAGGGGGGTTGGACTGGATGACTGACAGAGGTCCCTTCCAACCCTGACCACTCTGTGATTCTGTGGCACCTGCCGGTGGGCCTGGGCATGGGGGAGGTGGCGTGAGCCGCCCCGGCCGAAGGGACAGGCTGGAGGCTTCGTCTTGGTGTGTTGAACAATCCAGCCCACCTTGGAGGGCAGGAAGGGACATTTCTGTAGGGGAGTAGTTGTTTTCGTACACCTGTTCTGCATTGCGTTCGGTGACATCTCAATCCAGCAAGCGTGCGGAATGATGGAGTCGTCAGCTGTCCCGCTCGGCAGCGCTCAGACCTCCGCTCATGCTCTGGAAGCAGCATCGAGCTCTCCCGCGTGTCGCCTGGCAGCTGTAAGGATCCCTGGAACAGCAGTGCCCTGCCACGCTGCTTGGTGCCACGTATCCATAACTTCGTAACAGTTAACAAAGCGCCTCTGTATTGTTTGATAAGACTCAGCTAATAGCCCTGATGTTTTCAGACATCTTATTACGTTTAGAGTTATCTCATCACTACTTTTCGTGCTCTTAAATGCAGAGAAAATGGAGGGTTTGCCCTGGCGAAGATAATCTGGAGCCCACTGGGCCGTTAATGATCCAGGCTGCTTTTGTTTAAACCCAGGCCTTACCATGAAGGCAAGTTCTAAAATGGTTGCATCACCTAGATTTTGAAAAGGCTAGGTTAGCCTTTTATATTTAATTAAAATATTGCGCTCCCCAGTATACAACAGATTGCTAGATCAGTGTAAAAGGAAGTGAATGTGATATTAATAGAATGGTGTTAGCCACTAAAATACACACTTACAATATACAAAAAGGAACTAAATAAGAATTACTGTTCTTATCATGAAGACTTAGACTGCAAATAAACATATACATGTCAAAATACATTTTAAAATGTCATTTCTGACAGGAGCTTCCATAGGTGTTCTGGGGGTGGGCATTTTCTTTTAGCAGCCTCCTTGCCCTCAGGAAGCTGCCATCTCTTCTTCAACAGCAGCAAAGCTGATCTCAGAAGTCCTGCTATATGTGCTAAATAATCTTTGTTTTTGTTGGGGAGGAAGAGGAGGAAGAGGGAGAGGGAGAGGGAGTAATGCAGGTTCTAGAAATGTTAACATCTGTTTGTGTTCTGTAGTTAAACCCACTGAGTTAGAGCACAGAATCATAGAAGAACCCAGGTTGGAAGGGACCTCGAAAGATCATCTGGTCCAGCCTTTCATGGGAAAGGGAGCCTAGATGACACTGTCCAGCGCTCTGTTCAGCCACATCTTGAAAAACTCCGGCCATGGGGACTCCACCATGTCCCTGGGGAGATTGCTCCAGAAAGGATCGTTCTTACCGTACGAAATTTCTTACCTTGAGATGAAAGATGGAGAGCCCGTTACCAGAAGGAGACAGGTTCATTCTCCCAGTATCATAAAGCCTGGGTTGTCCAGAGGATTTGTCTCTGAGAATAATGCTGTCGTGCGCCACGGGCCCACCGCTGCTGCCATTTGGTTCACCTCCCAACACACCTACAAAAGAAGAGTGTTTAGACCCAGCTTCCATTCCCTAACGTAGAAGAGTCGCTACAGCTAAAGAAAACCCTTCTAGAATGAATTCTTGAAGAACTGCTGTTTAACGTTTGAAAGCAGACAGAATTTGAGTCAAAACAATAGTTGCCCCAGACCATAGAAGCCTGGGAATCTGTTCGGTCCCACTTGTGAATTTGCTGAGTTTGCAGTGTATCCCAAACCACTGATTACTGTCATCAGAGCTGATCCAGTTCATTTAATTTTGCAACAAGCTGCCTGTTTCTTACACAAGCTAGCAGATAATACTGAAGAAATACTACAGAGAATTAAAGTCTTGCCATCCATGGACTTCAGGTCAAACCCATATACTACTTGGATTGTCCAGTAGCACTGTGATAGCTTTTCTCAGAGTTACCTCACTCAGGTAGACCTTTTCACATCCTCCAATTTTTCTGAAAGACATGAGACCAATCATAAGGCTTTAAAATACATATTTTAATGTATTTTTTGAAAATATTAGTGTATTTACACAAATTTCTCATTTTAAAAATATTTTGTACTTCCCTATTTTAAAACATCGAGTTCAAAAAAAGTTCAGCCAGATGACTATGTTACACAAATTTGAAAGAACATTCACTGTAGCTATGAGCAATTAAAAAAAAAGACAACAAAGAAACACATACCATTCCATTAACAGTAAGTGAATGCACATTATAAAGTTGCTGACTTCCACAAATTGTTGTTCCTCTAAAAACTGCTTGTCTGTGTCAGTAACTTGTACCCACTTTTACACTGGAATTTGCATTTCCTTTCCTCCCCTTTTGCTTATACAAAAGTTGCAATAAAATGCATTACAGTAGTATTTCATTTACAAAACAAATGACATATTAAAACTTGTTTCTTAACCCATTGGATTGTATTTCAGTAAAACAATGTCCTTTCATGGAGGTGCAACAGAGATTCCGTCTGGACGTAGAGAATGGTCTCTCTCTCGAAGCAGGCCTGGCCTGGAAAGGGTGACTTGAGTTGCTGCGTGATGTCATGCTGATTCCTGTCTGGAGGGATCTTATCTTCAGGTTTGGCAATGAGGATAGCACATTAAACATTGTATTTAGTCAGAATAAATACAAATAAATTAAAAACAAATTATGGGAGAAAATTATTTTCTCGTTGATATTGCTTGGAGGAAAGCTTAGCAATGAAGCTTGTGGCAATATCGGGGTTATACGTGAGTGGCAGGTCCATTTATTTCAGTAGTACTCTCTCAACAAGGAAAAAACAGCTATGAACATGGCTGTAATTTTGGAGAAAGATAGTAGTGATCTTCTTTCAAACTTCATTAGGAAGCCATTTTCCTGTGGAAAAGAACAAGCACAGATAGGGACAGCTTAAAAATAATGTGTAGGAAAAACACCCCACTCTGTGCTGGCATCAGATTAACAGAGTGCTACGCCATCGTGCATAGAGGGACAGGTTTTCAGAGCTCTCCCTCCAAAAGATGAATAGGGCTTTAAAAACAGTAGCTGAAAATAGCTGCACCTGTCTGAATGTTTGCTTTATCTCCAAGCCAAGACTCTGACTCTGCCCTCCCTGTGTAAATAGAAAATGAATATGAACTGTGTCATCTGAGCCCACATCTTAAAGGAAGAAACAAGCACTGTGTTTCTGATGCAGTAATACGCTTACAAACATCTTCCTTTAAGCCTCCTCATTCTACTACAGTGAGCCACGTATTATGACAGAACGTTGCCAGGAGTTGATACTGCTCTTCAATAAAATTGACTCTACTTGAAAGAGATGGCGAGAGAAGCCTTTACAATAAAGGTGGTGCGTCAAGGGCCCGTGACTCACTATCACCTTTTTTTACTGTTACCAGACAGAGAAGGATCAAAACAAGCAAAAAGAGAAAAAAGGAAAAGAATGACACTAGAAAACAAGTGAGGCAAAAAAAGTAATAACAAATAGGAAACAGAAGTGGGACAAGAGAGGGTTGGAAAGAGAAAGAAACATTTAGATACAGGTGAAGGAAAAAGTACCAGGGAAATAACTGGCTCTGATGTCACCGATTCTCAGCTTCCCCTGACTGCAAGGGGAGGAGGTATGGGCGTGATGAAACTCTGCAAAGCAAAGCGGACCTCCCCTCCTCTGGCAGAAGGGAATTTCAGCAGCTTGGCAAAATAATCCACATACTGACAAATGCTTTTCTCAGCATTGACCATTCATACATGGAAGTTCTAGGATGACCTCAGTCCAAACAAACAGAAAAGATTTAACCCCAACTGCACTTACCTGTAAGTTTGTGTAAGTAAAATTGATTTGGGGGATTAAATACTGGCTTTGCTGAAATCCACAGCAAAAGTACTGACTTCAGCTGTGAGGATCACACCTGTGCATTCTTCTCTTTACTTTGAACTTCAGTATTTTTGGACCAGCTCCTCTGTGGAAGCAAAATTGCTGCACTAACCTCAGGATGCCACTTAATTTTAGATTTAACAATAGGAAATTTAATGGCATGCACAGTTTAACCTGCTTTGAGCAGGAGACTGGAGTAGATGATTTCCTAAGGTCCCTCTCAACCTGAATTATCATAGGATCTTACGATTCAAGACTAACTCTAGAGTTTCGACTGTTGCAGGCACAGAAAGTACTTCTTTTAAAAAAGAAAGTTGTCTTTTAGCATTGTTCTGTTTAAAGCAGAAACAGAGCTTTCACTGTAAGTCTCAAGGAGACATTGCAGACATCAAATATTAAACCACCAAATAAAACACTGAATAAAATTATTTTGACAGTGTCTGAAAAAATAGCTTTCCTTAATTAAACAAAATCTCCTAATCTAGACTTTGGTGGAAAACAAGAAACTCACCCAGCCGCCATTTGCATCTATCCATTCAGCTTTGTGGTTTATTATGTACTCTGTGATGAAATAAGAAATCTGCTCCTTCTCCTCTCCAGTCAGCTGAACTCCATGCTCTTGAAGCTTCTTTGTGAGAAGACCTCCAAATGTAAATATGGTCATAATTCGTCCCCAGTTAGTATTTCCATCAGCAAATTTTTCTTCCATGACCCCGTTGAAGATTCTCTTGGCAACGGCCACAGAGGTAATATCAATCCTGTCCAAGAACGGTCTGAGAGCCTCCTCGGTTTGATCTTGCAGCGAAGAGGCAATGTTTCGCAAGACATGAGCAACCCTGGTTTGGGCTGGTCCGAGATGTGATTCGTGAAGCACATACTGCAGATAATCTTGAGCTAAGTAATAAACGTAATAGAACTCAGCAGTTTCCATTTAGAACGAGCTGCGGAGAGCCGTGCACTGCTCTTAATCAGGGTCAGTAATGAGCAACCACAGCACATGCACACAGCTTTGTATCGTCTGGTTTTGGTGGAATTTTTCTTTTACCACAGAAGTTCCTGTAAAACCTAGTGACTTAATGGTTGTGTGGGTTGTGGAATATGTCACAGCGGAAATGAAAAAAAAAACGTCTGCTAAAGGGGAAAGAACATGTCTTCTTGAGCGATTTATTATTTCTCTAAATAGTGTGATTCTACAACTAAAATCTACCATCTTTTACCACATTCTTTAGCAGTATAAATTTGCCTTTCCTTGGGACTTTTGCTGTGAAACACTAGCAAAGATTTGGCATTTGACTTAGAAACTGCTGAGAACGGCATATGCTAGCAAAGGTTAGGCATTTGGCTTGAAAAAACATGCCTAAAAGGTGTATGCTACAGGAGCATGCAGCCCCCACCGCCACCCCATCTTCCCCCACCCCAGTCTCTGCATTGCCAGGGGTTAAGGCTGCAATCTGTGTTGCAGGTTAATGGGTTATTTCTGGTTCACAACTTTTTGAAGACACTGGTAGACATTTCCAGCAGGGTGAAGGAATGCATAGACTTTCTTCAGCACTCGGGGACCTTTCCATAACTGCAAAAAGTGGGAACACAACAGTGGAACAAGTATGCATGCAAAAAGGGGAAAGCCAGCTTTATAGCATTATCCCCTTTTCCAAACTTTCCCACACTCTCTCTGTGAGTGCTCTTCAAGGTCCTTCTTTGAAGATTTGAATGGGTAGCTTCAAAGATTTCTTTTCCCCACGGGGAGTTCTGCTGTAAAAGACATTATGAGTGTAAAAGACATTATGAGTGTAAAAGACATTATTAGTATAAAAGACAATGCTAATGCAGTCAACGCGTCGGAACATGGGATGGAGAATATGGGGCCAAGCTAGTGATGTGTGATACCATCTGAATCGTTCATGACAGGTAACAAAGAAGTATCATGATACCTACAAGAACTGCTTGTAGATTCAAATTTTCGGTCGAGCAGTTATTTGTTGGGAGAAGGGGCAGGGGCATGTAGCCCACTTTTTCCTTACAAACCTCTTGTGAGGCAACCTGATCATGCTAGAGGGTCAGGATGTGTCTGTAGAGAACCTCACCTCGTTGCAGAGGCTTCGGAGAAGCAAGCAATTTGATGTTTGGAGACCCCCTTCTTTCCCCATCCCCCTTT